TTGGTTTTTCGAGACAGGGTTTCTCTTTGTAGCCCAGGCTGTCCAGGAACTCACTCTGTAGACCAGGCTGGCCTCGAACTCAGAAATCCGCCTGCCTCTGCCTCTCAAGTGCTGGGATTAAAGGCGTGCGCCACCACTGCCCGGCGGTTGTAAGACTTTTTGATGAACAAATATTTACACCTGTTTTTTCAATTTGGACTATTAATGAATAGTACATAGTATTGTAAAAGACTTTTAAATAGGATAACTATATTCAAAGTTAGTTAAAGAGCCCTCCTCAAAGTATAAACTAGATGACTTCATCAACTGAAAGAAAGAAAAAAAAAAGACATCACATCGAAGACTCCATTCTGATGAAAAGATCAGGCCTGTATCTACGTACTTCCAACGTACTCCCAGACTATACTAAGAAAATGTTATAAAATTTATATAAAAATAGGTTTTTATTTTTCAGGACAGGGTTTCTCTGTGTAGCCCTGGCTGTCCTGGAACTCACTCTGTAGACCAGGCTGGCCTCGAACTCAGAGAGCCACCTGCCTCTGCCTCCTGATACTGGGATTAAAGACGTGAGCCACCATACCCAGCCTTATAAGATAGATTTATTGTATGTATAATTTATATAAATTATACCATAGGTCTATGATTTCCACTGACATGTTAATTATAAAGGCATATTGCTGGGTTGGGATTGCATTTTCACTAGATAGATGTAGGCAAGAGTTAACTCTACTAAGGCCCCACAGGTATCTAACACCACCTGGTCAACATTTAACAGAAGGGGAAACTGAGGCATAGAATAAGCGAGGTGCTGTTTAAGGTCACTTAGAGTGAGAAACAGAGCAGGATTTGGGAGGTCTGTCTGGCTGCGCGGAGTGGGCCTTTTATTATTACCAAGGTGTTGGAAGCAATGACAGACTCACAGGGAATGGTGGGCTGTATACAGGGCGCCGCCAGAGCACACACTGGCCTGAGCCCTGCAGTTGCTCAATAAGGATGGCTGCTGTCCTCACTGATTGAGCTTTCTCAAGTATGACGTCATCGTCCCCGGTCCCCAGGGCGCACACAAGCCTCCTTTGGGCTCTGCAGGCTTCCTTCTTCCTCCTGATCACACAGCGAGCCATTCCTGTGTGGCAACCCTGCTTACAAATCTGTCTCCACTGCAGCCTGAGCCCCCGGGGGTGGGGTTAGGATGATTAAGCGTCTTCTTGTGGTCTCTCTACTTTATTCAAACTGTTATGGACTGTCTCCCCTGGGGGGGGGGGGGCTTGTCAGCCATCTTGCCATGTGAGAGTGATGTGTTTATATAAAGATAAAAGAGATAGAATATATGTTCTACGAGTATGGGGGAGGGGATGTCTAAGTGGGGCCCATGCGAGACATCTCTTCCCTGAGGGACCAGCCACAGGACGGTATAGTATAGAATAGAGTTTATTCAGGGCATGGGGAGGGGAGTTAAGAGGGTAGAAGAGGCAGAGAAAGGCAAAGAGAGAGAGAGAGTAGAGAAGTAGAGGCCACCCATGAGCACGTGAAGAGAGAGGGAAGGGAACGAGGGGACAGAGGGGAACAAGTAGGCAAGAGAGAGAGGAGGGGAGAGAGAGGAGGGGGCAAACAACCCCTTTTATAGTGGGCCAGGCCTACCTGGCTGTTGCCAGGTAACTGTGGGGTGAAGTTTAGACATGATGCTAACAGAAAGTCACCTGACTGGGAGGGTGCCTTAGATAGGTGATGGCGTGATCTTAGGGGTAGTTGTAGAACAGATCTCAGGGAGAGCTGCTGAGGCTCAGGCGGGAGAGAAGCCCGGAGATGGCCAAAGGTGGGCGTGGGGATGCTGCAAACAAAAACAGCTGGAGAGCGGGGAGAATCCCAAGAGGCACACTCAGGGCTTAACTGCGGAGGGTGCAGTTCTCCTCAGGCTCCTCTAGGGGGAGCAGCACGTGAGATCAGTGAGTCTTTCAAGCTTGGTTGGGGACCTTATAATCCTCCTCAATCCTAACCCCTTGCTGGGTGACTACAGATCCTTACCAACTACCCCATAGGAAACTAGGTGTGCTCATCACCAGAAGGGGGACTGAGGCTCAGAGAGGTAAAGTGACCTGGCCACACAGCAGGGAAACACTATCCGGTCCAGCCCATCTTCACACTCTGGCCCAGATCAACTCCTGCTACCACCAGCCTTATCCCTGCTCCCTCCCACAGCCTGATACCCAGCAGGAACTGGGGGAGAGTCGCTGCTGAACTAAATTGAAATTTCCCACAGCTAAATTGCACCCTGATGAAGGGCTGCTGCTCTTGACAGAACACATCGGAGCTGTCCTTAGATGCCTCTGCCAGTCCCCTCCTGGAACCCCACGGCTACTTGAGAAATATTTATGCTGACGACAGGTTATTTTTTATCCTTCAAATAGATTATTCACGAGGCAGCTGACTAATTGGGCCCGTACTGTTATAACGGGTTAGGACCAGATGTATCTGGGAAGATTAGGAAACTGCGCGTACACAGGGGCTCCTTCCCTTCCTCAGCCTGTCCCTAGTTCTGAGACACCTCCTGATATCCTTGGTGACTCAGGACAGCTACTACCATCCCAGGAGAACCCCCAGGTGAGGCTGGCTCTTGTCACCTAGCGCCCCACAGGTGTAGACTTCAGGTGAGCTTGTCTTCCGATCCCATCACCTGCAGCTCTTGTTCTGGGGAAGCTGTCTCTCTGTCTTTTTGGGTGCTGGCTGAGACATAGGGGTTGTCTATCAATGACTCCACAGCCATGTGCCCGGGGCTGGAAACCCTGCTCCTCTCCACCCGCACTGGGTGACCTTGTTGGTGCAATTTGCTCTACTTGGGTCTCAGTGTACTGATCTACAAATGGGCAGCCTTGATATCTTAGGATAATAAGCTTTGCAGAGATCCTGATGGAGTACCAGGTGCAGAGGAGTCACTGCTGCTTATGACAATCCCTGCTGATGGTGGCTCCCAGCTTTTTGTGAGACTCCCTATATGGCCCTTCCTGCTGGCCTCAGTTTCCCCCCAGCCCCCAAACCATAGCAGCTCCCTAAACTTCCGAGCTCTCCCATACCAGATGTGTGCCCACGCTACTCCAAACTCCCACCTCTCAAAGCTCCTCCACAACTTCACTGCAAAGAAGAACAGAAACAAAAGCCCTCCGCTAGCTCAGGGCTCCTGGTAATTGATCAGCACCCAGAAATCCGGAAACAAAGGCACCCCGAGGAGCTGCAGGCTGTCTGTGCACAGCCTGGCGGTCTTCGCTCCAGCTTCTTGTCGTCAGGAGGAACCAGGCCCTGATGAATGGTTTCTCCGTGCCAGTTCCCCATGGAATCATTAAACACAGGATCTGATTCATTAAACAGATCCAGGACAATTCACCTTGTGTAATCATATCACATAAAATCTCGCCTCCGTCCTGCTCCAGAGGGGCAGTAAAGTTAATGTTATAGAACCAAAGTTGGGGGTGGGGTAGGGAGGCTTATCAGAAGAGGCTCTAATCAGAAGAGGACAGGATTACCGTGACTAGCCATACACAGCAGCTACTCGGCCTCTGCTTCTCCCAGGTCACCACCCACTGTACATCAAGGGTGGCCCAAAGCATGTCTCAAAACCTGTGAGAGCATCGGAGCCCCTGCGAAATCTGGTTGGACACAGACCCTCAAATTTCCCAGGTGACACTGCTGCAGCTGGTCCCCAGCCACACATGAGCAGTAAGGGTTTAAGGCAGTGAAAGTTAAAGCGTGTGTGTGTGTGTGTGTGTGTGTGTGTGTGTGTAAGGCCCCCAAAGTCTTGTGGAAATGGATCATCTCTGATCTGTAGGTCTGGAGTGGAGCCTGGTGATTTGCATTGCTAATGAGGCCCCCCTGTTGTCCTGGCCCCTAGGATGTCCAAGGAGGGGGATGAGTGGGTGGCTGGGGTGGAGAATGGGGGCTCTGTTCCCTGGGGAGAGAGGGGATTCTGGGGCTAATGCAGCCCCAGGATGAGATGAGTGTGGACCAATCCTCCATATGCCCTCTGTTGGTTTTGAGTTGGTTCAATGAATGCCCTGACTTGGTGTTGGTCTAGGGGTTCAGGTGTCTTTAAATAAGGAAACGGAGGCTGGCAAGGTGTCTGCTGGGGAAGAGGCTGATGTGGGAGTGTCAATCAATGCCTGGGTTGGGATCCCAGCTCAGCAGACCTGGGGCGCGTACCAAGCCCCATATACCCTGCACAAGAAGTTTCTCCCTAGTTCCTGGAGGGTTTGACAGAAAGAGGGGCTGCTCAGTGATGAGTTGATAACCACACCCCCTTCTTTCAGACCCCAGGAAGCCTGGGAAGAGGAGAGCTGGCTAGTTTGGCCACTGTGTATCCCAGTGACCTTACTGGTCTTTTCCCCCCTAGGCCTGTTTCCTCATTAGTAAGAGAACCAGGGTTCTCAGCTCAGACCCAGCTGGGTTTGAACTCGGTGTTCCCAGCCACTGTCTGCTCATTGGCTCAGGCCTCTTCGTCTACCCAGGGAAGAGCATGGGGCCCTGCTTGCTGTAACTCCGGCCCATCTCTGGTCCCTCTGAACACGGCAGGGTCACTACAGTTATACTGGTCACACGGCTGTAGGGCTAAGCCACCGAATAGGCTGGGTCTGGATGCAGGCCATGTGATACCGAAGAGAGGACTCACAAATGTGGCAATCGATGCTCTCTGGGTTTGACAAGCAATGCCTCCATCACTGTACCGAGAACCGTAGCTGCTGAGTAGAGGGTGCTCCTCCCAGCCTTTTGCGCCCTACAATTTTATCATCCCCCGAAGTCTAGAAAGTTAGAGCTATTCAGGAAAGCAGAAGGGTCGAGAGTCCCGTTATCAAGTTTCACTGTAAAAGGGGAATCCTTAGCTCCTGGGCTTTGGGTGTGGCGCTCGGCGGCTCTGCTGGTCAGAGCTGCTGCTTTGTACAAGCTCTTCCGGGCTCTTAAGAGCTCCCTGCTGGTCACCCCGCACCCCACGCTGTCCCAGGCCATCCCTCCTGTACCTTTGCCTTTCCAGTGGGCGTGGGCAGCAAAGCCTATGTGGCCTCCGTATTTGCGGTTGAACTCGGCCATGAGGGCCTTGTAGGGGTTGCGGATGAGCAGAATGGCGGAGTCGAAGGCCTCGATCTCCTTCTGGCCGCTCTCGTGGGTCTTGATGCAGATAGTCCGCCCGCTTCGCCAGTGGTCCCGCTCACCTTTGAACCCTGTGCGCAACCCCAGCCAAGAAGTTAGAAGCTGGGGAGGTGGAGGTCGGAGTAGGGTGCACTCGCGCGCGCGCGTGCACACACACACACACACTTGCACGCATGCACGCTCGCATACCACCACCACCTTAGGCTTCCTCACCGTCTTCTTCACTCCATCATTCCTTCCTGTGTGTTTTCTGAGCACCTGTGGGCACGGTTTTATCAACCATCCTGATGTTCTCAGAGGCACACAGCCCTGAGGGTACTGAGGATGGGGGTGTGAGGCCTCATGCCAGACTTCCCTCAGACAAAGACTTTCCACCTGAGACCTTCATTTTGTCTACACTGAAATCTATTCTCTCACAAGCCCAGCAATGGGGAGATACCGGTGGCATGCAAAACCCCAACATTATAGTGGTTATTACACTGATTATAGTGTGAGACCTCCGATCTCTAGAGACCCAAACCAACAAAACGGTAAAGGAAACTTCCCAAACTGGGCAGTGGTGGCGCACACCTTTAATCCCAGCACTTGGGAGGCAGAGGCAGGTGGATTTCTGAGTTCGAGGCTAGCCTGGTCTACAGAGTGAGTTCCAGGACAGCCAGGGCTACACAGAGAAACCCTGTCTCAAAAAAGAGAAAAAAAAAAAAAGAAGAAGAAGAAGAAAACTTCCCAACGCCCAAAGGAAGGCATCCATGATGTCATCAGTGGTGACAGTATGGAAAGTTACTTCTCCATCTCTGGAGACCTGAGATGCCGTGTCTTGGATGCCACCATGCTGTCAACCTAGCGCGATTCCGTGGAGATTGAAAATACACCACGTTGGCCAGGAAACACCTACTCCGGAGTCTAAATGTTGAGTAAATGAGAGTGCTGCCATTCGGCAGGACATTTGCCAGAATTTTATGTCCCTAAGGAGGGACAACAGGCTTGGCTTCCCTGAGGAATGTTATTGAATTCCACCTCCAGGGCCCCCCCGCCTCCTCCACACTCCTGTTTTCTTTTTTTTTTTTGGTTTTTCGAGACAAGGTTTCTCTGTATAGCCCTGGCTGTCCTGGAACTCACTCTGTAGACCAGGCTGGCCTCGAACTCAGAAATCCGCCTGCCTCTGCCTCCCAAGTGCTGGGATTAAAGGCGTGCGCCACCAACGCCCGGCCACACTCCTGTTTTCTAATGGACCCAGCAGTTCGCTACACAAATTTAAATATCACTTTTCAGAGTCACCACACAAGTTATCTATTTACCTGGGGACCATGTGACCCTCAGGCACCAGGGAGTCACTGGACAAATTGTTCTAAGTCCTGGTCTCAGAGCTGCAGGAAAATATAATGTTTCCCCTTTTCTCATAGCTCTAATCTGCGGTACCTTGGATCGGTGTTCCCAGGTCCCTTCCTGCCATTATCTTGTTGTGTTTTTGGAAAAGCTCTGTGTTTGCTCGCTGCTGACTCCTCCTGTTCTAAATAAAGAGGCTGAGGCTCAGGAGGGGGAGAACTTGAGCCCAGGCTCCATCTGCAAGGTACCATGGACATTCAGACTGAGGCTCCATCGCTCTCTGAAGCCAGGAGGAAGCTGGTGGGAGGGCGGAACCAGGTGTCCAGGTGGCTGCTTTGTCTGCCACTGAGGGGGTAACAGAATCTCAGAAACCTTGGAATGTGTCTTTGCAAAACGGGGTTCACTGAACTTGACACTGGAGATGAAAACCCTTCAGATCCCTGGCCTCTGTGATCCCAGGGTGCCTTCTCTGAGGACTCCGAGGACGATGGGTCTACCCGCAATCGGGTATGCTTCCAGCCAGCAGCTCAAAATGACAGCACAACTCCAGTTCTGCTGAGGGGTCTGGGCTTGGAGCCTTGCACATAGTAGGTGCTACCTCACACATAGTAGGTACTGATTAAATGAGATGAGAAACCCAAACCAAATACAGAGAGCTGGGATCTGAAGGCACAGGCCCTGTGTGCTGGTTGGTTTTCGTAAACTTGACACAAACTAGAGACTCACAGAGAGGGAACTTCAACTCAGATCTCCTCTGTCAGATTGGTGTGTGGAGTATTGTCTTGATTAAGGAGTAATATGGGAGAGACTGGCCCACTGTGGGTGGAGTCATCCCTGGGCTGGTGGTCCTGGGTTCTATAAGAAAGCAGGCTGAGCAAGCCAGGGGAAGCAAGCCAGTAAGCAGCTCCCTCCATGGGCTCTAGTTCAACTCCTGCCCTTTTCCTGTCTGAGTTGATTTTGGTCAGTGTTTATCACAGCAAGTGAAAGAAAACTAGGAAGCTTGCTGCCACTCCCCTGCCCTGCTCCAATACTCCTGCCCGGCTCCTACACCCCTGCCCTGGTCCTATACCCCTGCTCTGCTCCTACACCCCTGTAGGCATCAACCTCCCACCCCATTTTCTTCCCCTCCCACCAGTCTCCTTCAGTCTCTGCCTCCCCCCTGCTTTCTGTCCTGAGTGCCGTTGCCGGCCAGCTTCCCACGTGCTGAACTTGTCCCGTGCATCAGCCCATCTGCTGTTAAATCAGCCTCATGAAGCTCATGCCACAGGACCAGAGAAGTACAGTAGTGTACCCAAGCACACACAGTCTGGAAATGCTCCTCTCCCAAACACAGCCACAGCCACAGCAACAAAGGTAGTCCACACATAGATGTAAAACCCATACCAAGGAAAGCGCTTCATGTCCAGGGCCAGCCTGGTTTCTAGCTCCCTGGTAAGAAGGCCAACAGGAATAAAGGCGTGAGGGTGAACTAGGAAACAGTTGGGCACGCTCTCCAATCAGACACTTGAAAACCTGTGACTTTGGGGCCAGTTATTTCTCTTCATTTGGCCCCACTTTTTAGGGCTGGGGGCGGGCAGGAGGGCAACACCTGTCACCGCTAGCTCAACATGGTATCTAGGGGAGGCTGACATACCTTAGGTCCCTTAGATACCTGGCACACAGTCGGTGCTCCATAAATGCATCTTGAAAACCACCCAAGGGAAGTGTATTTCCAACATAACAGTGCCTGGTGAATGTTCGTAAAGAGCATCAAAATAAAGCATGGCAAGTACTTTAGGTGGGACGCCGGGAAAACAGTTGACACTCAATAAATGCCCCAAAGGAAACAGCTATTATATCTCTATTGATAGCATAGAGCTGTTGGCCCATCAATATCTGGAGTGAGGTGCCCAGCACACATTAGGTACTTAGTAGATGTCTGTTAGGCTGCAAGCTCAGGGGACGTACCAAGACAGGAGACACATGATGTGCGTGTGTGTCAGACATAAGAGGGAAGAGGACATGTACATGGCAGGCTTGACCCATGAGGTCAGGCGTGCTGAGTGGTGCGTGCGGTTCCCTCACCCTCCACCCCTCACCTTTGTTGTACAGAGAGCCATCGAAGTAGTAGCTGCCCGTGTAGAAGCCGGTGGCCAGCTCGATTAGGTGACGAGCCCACGTGTTGCCGGCGCCCGGGAAGCTGGCTAGAGCGATGAGCTTCTTAGACTTGCCTGGGAGGAACCTTCTGTCCATACAGCGGTTGTCTGTGGGGGGGGGGGGGGACAGGGAGGGGTCAGCACTGTGTGTCCTGGAGACAAGGTCACAGCGGGAAGAGGAGAGGCACTATAGTGTGCCAAGCGCACAGTAGGGACCAGAATTAGTCCAGTAGGAGGACAAGCCTCCCGTCCAGTCTCAGGTGTTCTCCAGCACAGCAAGTCTTTCACAGTTGGTGGCTGCAATGGTTCAATTGGATGGGACTGAGAGCCCGCCTACTGGAGACCTAGCCCCACCCACTGCAGCCCCTACCTGAGCCAGAAGGCTCTCTGCTTCCTTTTGGTGCTCAGGGGCAAGGGCCGACAAGTGGTCATGGACCTCCGCACTTAAAAAGGTGCTTCTCCCTCTATGGAAAGGAGACTTTAAAAAAAAAAAAAAAAAACAACCTCCCAAGAGAATGTTACAATGTAATTAATGACTCTCATTGAAGACCCATTGAGGATCTGAGAGTTACAATGTTGCATTGTAATTAAAGACTCACACTGAGGAACACATATCTTTCAGCATGGCAGGATATAGGGGGGTCTTGGGGACCAGGGGTAGAGAGATCTGTGCCTCAGTAAAAGAGCAAAAGGGGCAAATAGAAGCCCCTGGGCATGTCCCCTATGCAACATTTCGCTTCTCTGAGGTTTGACTGTTTTTGGTAGTAAAAGCTTGGCTGTGGGGGTGGGGCACAGAACCCACTACATCATCTCCCCCTCAGCCCCCCCCGCAAAGAATTCTCCACTTAGACCTTCCTGGGAAGCCACAGGTCAGCTCTATGATAATGGCTGTTGTCCTCAGTATTAAATTTTACTTGGTCAATGTTAAGGGTCAGCTGACTCGATTTTTTTTTCCTTTTTTGTAGTTAGACAATGCTAGACTTTGATTTATTTCTATGTTGTTCTTTATGGTATTTTTCTCCTCCCCAGTCACATCCTCAGCTAAGGGTCAACTTGTTTTTTTTATTTTTTTATTTGTTCATCCTCAATAATCTTTTGATTTGCACATCATGAATAGTTTCCATTGTTTCATGGTATGTTCTGAGAATTGATTGACCATAAAATGTTTCACAGTGTGTTCTGTAACTGTCTGTGATGGTTTGTATATGCTGGGCCCAGGGAGTGGCACTGTTGGGAGGTGTGGCCTTGGAGTAGGTGTGGCCTTGTAGGAGTGGGTGTGGTCTTATTAAAGGAGGTGTGGCCTTGTTGGAGTAGGTGTGGCCCTGTTGAAGGATGTGTGTCACTGTGGGCCTGGGCTTTAAGACCCTTCTCCCAGCCAGGCGGTGGTGGCGCACGCCTTTAATCCCAGCACTTGGGAGGCAGAGGCAGGAGGATTTCTGAGTTCGAGACCAGCCTGGTCTACAGAGTGCATTCCAGGACAGCCAGGGCTATACAGAGAAACCCTGTCTTGAAAAAGCAAAAAACCCAAAAAAAAAAAAAACCCCTACTCCTAGCTGCCTGGAAGTCAGTCTTCTGCTAGCAGCTTTCAGATGAAGATGTAGAACTCTCAGCTCCTCCTGCACCATGTCTGCCTGGATGCTGCCATGTTCCTGCCTTGATGATAATGGACTGAACCACTTGCCTTGATCATGGCAATAAAACCCTAACTGAGACACTGACCACAAACCTGTAACATGTACCTTTCTTGTGATCATAAAAATAACTGCAAAATTCCACTCTTGTAATTGCTTGCTTGCTTGCTATAAGAGGTTCCTGTGCTTTTGGTCTGAGCTGCTTCCTTCTCCTACCCTCGAGGAGACTGTAAGTTTGGCCTAGCAGTAAAATAATTTCTTTTACTTTGTAACATCTCAGGCTAGCTCCTGGTTCCCTGCACCTTAACAGTCTATTGGTTCCGAAGCCCCATAAACCAGGGCAGGAGCTAGAGGTCCCGTTCTCTAGTCTGTGGGATCAATAGTCTTAACTGCCTCTCCAATACCCCGACTGTCATAACACTGCAGTCTCCTCTCTGCAGGGAACAGAAACAAACAGGCCACTCAGAGTGCAGTGTCCTAAATCCTGCTGAGAAGCTTTGGTGAGAAGTAAGGTTCTGGAACCCAACACTGCCCTATTTTGCTGTGTGGCTCCGGTCATACTGATCAACCTCTCTGTGTTCAGTCGCCCCTTTGTAAACTGGTCACCACGGCATGCATGGAATCGTGCCGGGTTAATCGTGGAGGGTTAGGTGGGTTAAGCCTGGTAAAGAGCATCAGGCAAACAGCTTGTTAACGGTTCAGTTCCCACCAGGAGAAGCAGGGCTTATTGTGCAGTAGATGCTTAATAAAAGACCACCTCTGAGGAGCAAGGTCTGGGCAGTTTGCTGAATCTGCCGCATATGACTCTTCTCAGGGTGTAGGATCTGCTGGGGCTTGGACAGGCTGGCGACGGGGTGCTGAGAATGAGCACAGAGAGGCTATCAACTCTCAAGAGGACATCAGTTTCCAGCGGGGTCTCGGCAAAGCCCCTTGTGACCACGTGCACGACTTTCCTCCAGGCCGGCGCGACGAAGCTCTGCCCAGAAGCTGGATGATCCCAGAAAACCAGCTGTACTGGCTGGCTTTGTGTGTCACCTTGACACGGCTGGAGTTATCACAGAGGAAGGAGCCTCCCCTGAGGAAATGCCTCCATGAGATCCAGCGGTAAGGCACTTTTTCAATTAGTGATTGATGGGAGATGGCTCCGCCCATTGTGGGTGGAGCCAGTCCATTGTGGGTGGAGCCATCCTTGGCTGGTGGTCCTGGGTTCTATAGGAAAGCAGGCTGAGCAAGCCAGGGGGAGCAAGCCAGTAAGCAGCACCCCTCCACGGCCTCTGCATCAGCTCCTGCCTCCAGGTTCCTGCCCTGTGTGAGTTCCTGTCCTGACTTCCCTCAGTGATGAACAGTGATGTGGAAGTGTAAGCCGAATTAACCCTTTCCTCCCCAACTTGCTTCTTGGTCATGAGGTTTGTGCAGGAATAGAAACCCTGACTGAGACAGCAGCGCACACACACACTCCTCCCTCCTCACTGAACTATAAATGAACAGTGTTTGCTCACCAGGACCCTGAACACAACATCAGATTGGGTGGGACTGCCAGCTAGGGACCACCAGGCACACACATAGGATGCGTAGGCAAATCGCAAACAGGTGTCTGCTGCTTCCCCTCTCAGGTGTGAGAGTGTGGGCTGCCTCGAGTGCACTTGTGCTGTTGACACACCCGTGCAGTGTCCACCTGCCCATCTTTATCACCACCATCACCATCACCACCATTGTCCCAGTTTTCTTCTCTGCTGTTGTGATAAAACACCGACCGACCAAAGGAACCGTCTCTTTGGCTCACAAGTCCCCAATTACACTCAATGACCGAGGAAAGTGAAGGCGGGCGCTCAAGCAGGAGCAGAGGCCAGAACCATGGAGGAAACTGTTTCCTGGCTTGCTCAGCTTGCTTTCCTATACAATCCAAGATCATCTGCCCAGGGGTGGCACCACCCACAATGGGTTAGAGCCTCTCCCCTCAGTCGTTAATAAAGAGAGCACCCCACACCCACGCCTATGTGCAATCTGATGGGGACGTCCCTTGACTGAGATCCTCTCCTCCCAGATATATCTAGGCTTGTGTCTGGCTGACCGGAACTAACAAACGAACTCGACTGAAACCATCACTACATGGTCTCCTCTATCCCCATCATCACCACCCCAGCCACTGCCGGCATCCCCAGCATCCCCGGCATCCCCTCGGGCAGTAGAGGGATAAACAGTCAGTGTGGGTTCCCCTGGCAAAGGGGCAGAGATGGAAAGAGAGACTGAGGGGAGTGGAGAGACAGAGAGAGAGAGAGAAAGAGAGGGAGAGAGAAAGAGGAGAAAAAGGAGGAGAGGAAGGGGGAGGAGAAGGAGGAGGAAAGGGAGACAGAGTCAGGGATGGGGAAGAGAGAAAGAAAGAGACAGAGAGAGAGAGGGAGAGAGAGAGAGAGGAGAAAAAGGAGGAGAGGAAGGGGAGGAGAAGGAGGGAGTAAAGGGAGACAGAGTCAGGGATGGGGAAGAGAGAGA